ACCATTTCTGTTGTGTGTCTGCTGTATCTGCATCTCTCCTCATCAGCCTCATTGTGCTGCTTGTGCTGCACCCAGTAGATGCGTGAGTGGGAGGAACGCTGGGTCCTTCCTTGTCCCTGATCTTGGGGCAAGGCGTTTAGTCTTCCACTGAATGTTTGATGTTAGCTTTAGGTTTTATTGTAGCTGCTCTTTTTTTTTTTTTCTTTTGAGGCAGAGACTTATTTGCTCACTTTCAGTAGAGTGCCGTGGCGTCTTAGCTCACAGCAACCTCAAATTCTCGGGTTCAAATGATCCTCTTGCCTCAACCTCCCAAGTAGCTGAGATTACAGGCGCCCACTACAATGCCTGGCTATTTTTAGAGATGGGGTCTTGCTGTGTCTCAGGCTGGTCTTGAACCTGTGAGCTCAGGCAATCCACCCTCCTTGGCCTCCCAAGTGCAAGGAGTACAGGCATGAGCCACTGTGCCCAGCCTTGCTCTTTATTTGTTGAGAACATTCCCTTCTATTCCTGGTTTGCTGGGAGTTCAAATGAATGTTTGCTCACACACTTTTCCTACAGCTGATGGAGATGATAGGCTTGTTTCTGTGGTGATTAACCCTAACTGATTTAATGTTAGCTGAGCTTGGATTGTTGGCATGAGCCTCTCTTGGTTATGATGTATTACCCTTTTGGTATATTGCTGAATTCAATTTGTTAATATTTTGTTAAGGAGTTCTTTATCTGTACAGGACATTGGTCTGTAATTTTCCTTTTATTGTACTTGTTTTATTTTGGTAGCAAGGTTCTGCTGGTCTTCTCTTTCTGAAAGGGTTTGTGTAAGATTGGTATTATTTCTTTATGTATTTGGTAGAATTCATCTGTAATCCATCGGCACCTACCATTTCCTGGTAGAGAGGTTTTTAATTATAAATTCACATTTGTCACTTCTTATATCAGTTTTAGTAACTTGTGTTTGTGAAAGAACTTCTGTTTCATCTGCATTTTCTAAATGCTGAGTTTGCGTCATTTTGATAGTCCCTGTTATCCTTGTAAAGTTTGTAGGGTCTACAAGAATGCCCTTCTCATTTCTGAGGTTGGCAAGTCTTGCCCTCTCTTTCCCTAGTCGTCTTTCTTTTTAGGTTAGTCCACTGGGAAATTTGAGATTTTCCCAGGCTAACTTTGTATTTAATTAATTCTTTATGACATGTCCATTTATTTTCTTCCAGTTACTGTGCATTTAATATGCATTTCTTTTTTCTTTTCTTTTTTTTTTTTTTTGAAACAGAGCCTCAAGCTATCCCCCTAGGTAGAGTGCTGTGGCATCACAGCTCACAGCAACCTCCAACTCCTGGGCTCAAGTGAGTCTCCTGCCTCTGCCTCCCAAGTAGCTGGGACCACAGGCGCCTGCCACAACGCCTGGCTATTTTTTGGTTGCAGCCGTCATTGTATGACGGGCCTGGGCTGGGTTCGAACCTGCCACCTTTAGGTGTATGTGGCTGGTGCCTTAGCCACTTGAGCCACAGGTGCCGAGCCGCATTTCTTTTTTCTAGTTTCTTTTTTAACAGATGGGGTCTCATACTGTTACCCAGGCTAGAGTGCAGTGGTGTCATCACAGCCTGCAGCTCCTGCCTTAGCTTCCTGAGGAGCTGGGACTACATGTATGCCCCAGTGGACCTGACTAATATTTTAAGGTGTTTTTTTTTTTTTTTGGTAGCGACAGAATCTCACTTTATTGCCCTCAGTAGAGTACAGTGGTGTCATAGCTCACAGCAACCTCCAGCTTTTGGGCTTAGGTGCTTCTCTTGCGTCAGCCTCCTGAGTAGCTGGGACCACAGGCGCTCGCCACAACACCCAGCTATTTTTTTGCTGCAATTTGGCCTGGGCTGGGTTGGAACCCACCACCCTCAGTATATGGGGCCGGTGCCCTACCCACTGAGCTACAGGCACTGCCCATATTTTAATTTTTTTAAACATGGGAGTTGCTCTTTTTTTTTTTTTTGAGACTGAGTCTCACTCTGTGTCCTAGCATTGAGTGCTGTGGTGTTAAAGCTCACAGCAACCTCAGACTCTTGCTTGGGCTCAAGCAAGCTGTATTCTTGCCTCAGGCTCCCAAGTTACTGAGACTACAGGCATCTACCACAACACCCAGATGTGTTTTAGAGACAGGTCTTGTTCTTGCTCAGGCTGGTCTTGAACTCCTGAGCTCAGGCAGTCTTCCTGCCCTGGCCTTCCAAAGTGCTAGAATTACAGGCGTGAGATACTGTGCCCTGCCTCTTCTAGCTTCTTAAGATGGATTTTTAGATCATTGATTTTTTTTGAGATAGAGTCTCACTTTCTCGCCCTCAATAGAGTGCCGTGGCAGCTGCTCACAGTAATCTCCAGCTCTTGGGCTTAGGTGATTCTCTTGCCTCAGCCTCCCGAGTAGCTGGGACTACAGGCGCCCACCACAATGCCCAGCTATTTTTTTTGTTGTGGTTTGGCTTAGGCCAGTTTTGAACCTGCCACCCTCGGTATATGGGGCCAGCGCCCTACCCACTGAGCCACAGCACCACCCAGCTCTTTGATTTTTTTATTTTTAGGCTTCTCTCCTAATGTAAAGCTTTATAGTTATAAATTTCTTTCTAATCCCTGCTTTAGCTGCATTCTATATATTTTAATAAGTTATGCTTTTTTTGTAATTTCTTCAGCATTGTTTAGTCAGCTTTAATCCTAGCCCATAAAATTTTATTTCGGATACTGTATTTTTTAGTTCCAAAAATCTCTGGGGTTTTTTTTTTTTTTTTTTTGAAGTTTGACAGCCCTAATCTTTTTGCTTATTATGTCCATCATTTTCTCTAACTCTTTGAACTTATTTATTGTCATTGTTTTAAAGTCTTTGTTACTTTAAGCATCTTTGTTTTCTCTGGGTCTACTAGTTTCTACTGACTTGTTTTTTCTGGCTATGAGTTACTTTTTTCTGTTCTACTAGTTTGTTTTTGGTATGGTAGATATTATGGGAACAATGCCATCAAAAGTCTTGATTTTGTCTAACTCCCTTAAAAAGTGGTGTGCTTTTTTCTGGCAGGCAGTTGATTTGCTTGTGGTTTTGGTAGGGGCCTTTAGGGGCTTATTTTTAAGCACTACATGGCAGGTCCCTTATTCTAGAGCACTTGTAGTCCTGCTCCCATGGCAGGGCCTTTATGGAGTCTCCCTCGAATGCCCATGTTCTCTCCTATCTAGGCTTTGGACTCTCCATTCACCTCTGCTTCCAGTGGCGTTCTCTGCCAGGCCTTGCGGAGGTCTGTCTTGCCACCTCAGCCAGGTATCTGGCCAAACGCTCACTGGCCTCTAGAGTCACTTCTCTGCATAGCTGCACCCGTCTGTGCCCCAGCCCACCCATGTCAGCAGCCCTTGCAGACCATTCAGCCTTGTGGACTTGCCTTCCTGACTCGCTGTCTGGGTTGCAGGGTTGTGCTCATCTCATGTGTCTCCTGGTACTGGTGGACACCACCCCACGCTGCCAGCTCCTGGATCTGAACCTTGGCCGTCTCCTTGAGCAGTGCCTCTGTCGGGGCAAAAGTACAGCTGTGTCCATTCTCTTTTCATTAAAAGAAATTCTTCCTTTTCATCTTCCGCTTTTATATTGTGTTTTGTGTTCTTTCAGTTCATACTTCATTTCCAAAATGGCTCATCCTTTCATTTCTGATTCTCATTTTGAATTCATTTTCCTCTTTTCAGGTCTTTTCTTCAGTCACTCCTGTCTGTGATTTATAGCCTAAAGTCTTCACCTGCTTGTGTGCATCTTTCTGCAGCACTCTGTCTGGGCCATGCACCTCTTCAGTCTCTTGGGCACTTCTTCCTGCTTCCTTTTAAGTGGCTGAGTCTGCCCTGTGAGTGATGTGCAGGTGGCCTTATATGCCACTGCAGCCTCTGCAATCATAGGGGTGTCCCGTTGCTGGAGGGAAGGATGGGGACGGGGGTGACCACCCCTGTGTGGTTGGAGGTTGGAGATGTTGAGTGAACTCTTGCTTAGCATAATGTGGGTCCAGATGTTTGTAGGTGGAGATTTAGGCATATGGGTGTGTGTACACACACGTGGGTCTCCATGCTCATGGGGCGGCCTCTCTAAGAGGGTGCATGGTGTCAGTCGGCTCCACTGGCAGCTTTATGTGATTGGTCGCATGACCACTGCCTGTTACTTGCCAGATGACAGCTCTTGCATCACAGAGCAGGGTACTAGCAGAAACCCAGTCTCACCCCAGGTGTGCTTTGGCTGCTCTATGGAGCCACTGTGCTTCCTCCCAGGATGAGATGAGCAGTGAGTGATGGGGGCACGTGGGGAGAGTAGCCTGTGGTAGACATTCAGGGCACGGCTGGGGACTCAGAAGTGCTGACCTTGACATCTCAGCTGCCCGCCCCTGCTGGGTGGCCCTGCCCCTGCCCCACGCCAACCACATGTCACCTGTCAAGGTGATGAACGTGGGAAGCTGAGAGGGAAGTGCCTCCCTGTGTTTAGGGAGCATTGTTCTTTCCTTGTTCTCTTGAATAAACCTTTTTAGCAACTTTTCAAAGCAGGAAAGGAAATAGCAAGGACAGAGCTGACTGCCGTATCCCTCAGTGTGGCACCCCCCTGTAGTGGGGGAGAGGTGACAGGGAGCAGAGAGCTGTGTGCTAGGCTGTACCATATCCTCAGGCCAGCCCAGGAGACAGGTGCCCAGCTGTGCCCTGGTGTGAGGACCCCCACAGTAGCCATGGCTGGCCTTCTCAGGAGGAGCCAGGAGGCTTACTGCTTCCCTTCGAGGGCTGGGGCTGAGCCCAGGGCCTTTGTTGCTCCTCCCTGGCTGCCAAAGGCCAGCTGGGGCCTCAGTACAGCCAAGGAAGGCTCTGTGCAAGGAACAGAGCCTTGCCCTGCCTGCGGGCACTGATGTGGCAGGGTTCCCCCTCAGGCTTGGCTGGCCCCTCTGCACCCTTGTTTGCTGTGAGTGGTCTGGGTCTGGCTGGGCATGTGGTAACCACACTGTTCCTCCTTCCTCTCTTGGCAGGAAGTCTAAGGCAAAGCCTAATGGCAAGAAGCCTGCAGCAGAGGAGAAGAAGGTGTACCTGGAGCCGGAGCACACCAAGTCCAGGATCACTGACTGCGAGTTCAGGGAGCTGGTGGTGCTGCCCCGTGAGATCGACCTCAATGAGTGGCTGGCTAGCAATAGTGCGTGGGCCCCCCAGCCCCATCCTGCAGGGCCCCCCAGAGCTAGTGCTCAGCAGACAACCCCCCCCCCCCAACCATCTGGGACCTGAGGACACCCAGCCAAGCACATATGCTGGCAGTTGGGATGCAGGTGACCTGGACGTGGCTTGGACGTGGCCTTCACCTCTGTCCCTTTCCTTCTTTTCCAGCAACAACATTTTTCCACCACATCAACCTGCAGTACAGCACCATCTCTGAGTTCTGCACAGGAGAAACGTGCCAGACAATGGCCGTGTGCAACACGTGAGTAGCACCTGCTGACAGTGGGGTCCTCTTGAGAGGCTCCTGTCCTCCTGGCTACCTTCTCACCCAGAGATGGGGTCTTGGGACAGGCTTTGCTCTGCAGTGTCCTCTAGTCCCTGGGGAGCAATGGCCTAGACATGCAGGTTTCCTTTGGGTGGAACAGGAGGTGATGGGGCTGGAAGGGCTGGAAGGGCTGGCAGGCTGTGTCTCTGGGACAGGGACGTTTCCAGAGGCCCCAGTGCAGCAGAAGGCACATCTGTACTGCCCCCTGTGAGGGCTCTGGCTGGACTGAGCAGCTTGCTTTGTCCCCGTAGCCTCTGGTGGGCCTGTGCTGGTGGCTCTCTCTGGGAAGCTGCTCACATTGTCTCAGAGGGGTACCCAGGACCCACTGGCATCAAGGGCTGCCACACAGTTTGGGCCTGCTGCCAGCCCTGTGGGTATGAAAGTGGCTGTGGGGGCTACAGGTGGGGGCTGGCTCTGCTGGGACTCAGCCAAGGTGGTGGGCCAAGGAGGGTCAAAAGCTCCTTTCTGATATCTCCGTGTCAGGGCTGTGCAGGGTGGGACAGGCGATACTTGGCTCTCAAGAACTCCCGCACTAGAAGGTGGCAGACGTTCCCTCGGCTTCAGCCCTTGTGGCTTGGATGGGCCGCAGCTTTAAAGTTCTGGGTGATGTTGGGGCAAGTACAGATGACTGCCAGATCTGCACCCTTGGTCCTCCCAGGAAGGTCAGGTGTCAGCCAGGCACACAGCCCAGTGAGGGCAGGGACAGGAGAAAGCTTATGTAGGAGTGGGGAGCAGGCTTGACTGGAGGCAAGGTGGCACTAAATCCAGAGGCAGCAAGGGTGGTGCCTGAGGGCCGTGTGTCTGACAGGACTTGGATGCTGTCCAAGCACTGTCCAAGGTACCCTGTGGGAGTGGACAGGAACTGGCAGCCCTTTGGTATTCAGTTGTCCACAAAAGGGTTTCTGGAGAGAGAGAATAGGGTATGGTGCTCGGCAGACCTGCATCTAGATGCTGGCTCTGCATATGATGCTGGAGAGTGAAGGCCACCTAGCCTGGAGAGCTTGTCTTCTCTGTAGCCCTGCTTTAATGGGTTGTTGTAGATGCCTATGAATTAATATTGAGTGAAACATCTTCCTACGAAGGGATCATCTGAGGTCAAGGGGTAGGAACTCACTCAGACTGGTATAAGAGCTCAGGGAGGTTTCTTAAAGGACCTCAGGACTGCCTGCTGTCTCCCTGCCAGCTGTTTTGCCTGGGGCTGAAGTTGTGCTACCCTGCTGGAGCCTACGGGGTTTCCCTGGGGAGGGGGTGCCAGGTGGGACAGGTGAGCTGGACAGATCCCGCACAGGGTAGCAGTCTTGGCTCAGAACTTCCTACAGAGACACAAACTTGCAGATAACAGCTGAACAGAGCCAGGCAGGATCAGCCTGCAGATATGCATGTGCAGATGCCTGGTGACCACACTGCTGAGAACTGGACGTGAAGAATAAGCCCTAGAGCCCAAGGACAACAGTGTGTGCAGAGACACTAGTTGAAGGAGCCAGGATTCTTGCTAGAAATCTGGGAGCCTGAAGGTGGCTCCACATGGAAGTGCTGAAAGAAAGGATTGGTTCCCCCAGAATTCTGCATCCAGCAATAGTGTCTGGAGGAAGGTAAAGGGCCAAGGGCCCTCTGGCCAGCACACCTCCTAAAGAGTTGCCACAGAGGATTCTTCTAGTAGAAGGAAACCTGGGTGGCAGGACACAGGAAGAACCACAGAGATGGAATAGAATTGGCTGTCCTCCTTTGGAGTTGTTGAAGACACACTGACAGCTAACAGTGAGGTCTTGTCTGAGGGCATGCAGTCTGCAGGTGAGGTCACAGGGTGGCAAGTGGGTGGGGCCATGAGGTGAGTGGCTGCATCCAGCTGGGCTGCCCCCAGGGTTCTCAAGCACAAGAGTAGAGGTTAGGATGCCTCTGGAGCCCTTCTAGCAGCCTCAGAAAAAGTTGTATGAAGAGATTGTTACAATCATAATAGGTAAAAGGGAGTACTAAAAAATATTTTAAGTGGCCCAGAAGAAAGCAGGAGAGAAGAAATGCTACAAGGAATGAAAAACAGAAAACAAGTATAGCAAACCTAAATCCAAAGAGGTCAGTAACTGAATGGTGTAAACATGCCAATCACAGGGGAGAGTTATAAGAGCAGACTTTTCTTGAGCCAGGTGTATGGTATCTATAAGAAACTCACTTGTCTTATTTTGTTTGGGCTTCTATAGCAAAATGCCGTAGACCAGGGTGGCTGCTTAATAACAGAATCTTACTTCATGCAATCCTAGAGGTTGGGACTTCTGAGATCAAGGTGCAGCCAGAGCCAGTATCTGGTGAGGCCTCTCCTTGGGTCCCAGGCAGTATTTTCTCGCTGGGTCTTCATAGGGCAGGCATGATGAGGGGGCACCAATCCCCCTTGAGAGGTTCCACCTTCATGGCCTCAGCACCTCTGAAAGGCCCCACCTAATGCCACCGCCTGGGAAGCAGGGCTGCCAGGTGGACTTTGGGCAATACAGATGTTCCTGTGTAGCATCTCTGGGAACACAGTGATGTGGGTGATTAAAAGTTAGGGTGAAAGAGATACACCCAGAAAACTGCTCAGAAGAGCTAGGTGCAGTGGCAGCCATGCTGGAGAAGGAAGATGGCCAGGAATAAAAGACACTTGTTTACAAAGGGGCCAGCTTACAGGTGCTGACCTAACTGTGCACACATCAGGCGACAGAGCTCTCAGCACAGATCAAGCTGGCAGGACCCCAAAGGGAGTCAACAGAGACCCTGTCACTCCTTCCTCAGGGACAGACAGAACCTAGAAGTCAGGAGGTCAACGTGAGCATGGGGCCAGGATGACACTATCACCCCACTCCTTGAGGTTGACATTACCCTTCTGTCTACTAAAATAGGTGACACCTCACAAAAGGGGCATGTCACACAGTTTCAGGGGTTGAAGTAATGCAGGTACCCAACCTTAGTGCAGTCACACTGGAAATCAGGAACAGAACGATAACAGGAGAAAGTTTCAAATACATGGAAATTAACACACTTCTAAATAATTCATGGGTCAGAGAGGAAGTCTCAAGGGAAATTAGAAAATTTTTAAACTGTGCACAAAGGATTTGATGCTTATTTTAGAGAAAGAATATCTGAACTCTATAAGCTTCAATCATAAAAAGCTAGAAAAAGAGCAAAACAAACCCAAATCAAGCCGAAGAAATAAGAGCAGAAATTACTAAAATTGATTTCTGAGACCAATGGGAGAAATCCAGGAACCAAAATATGATTACTTGAATAGATCAAAGACTGATCTTTAGTAAGATACTGAGAGGGAAGGTATAGATTATCAGTAAAGAGGTGGATCACTGTGAACCCAGTGGATGTTAGGAGGATAATAAGCATTGCAAAAAAACCCTCAATGCATATGTTATAAATTCCACAGTTTAACTTAAATGAACCAATTCCTTGGAAAGCACAAAGTATCACAACTCACCCAAGGCAGGCAGTGTAGCAAGGCAAGAAAAAGGAATAAAATGCATCAAAATTTAGAAAAAAAAAAAAAACTACAGTAGTCTTTCCCCACAGTCAACCATGATCTAAAAGTAGTAAATGGAAGATTTCAGAAATAAATAATTCATAGGTTTTAAGTTGTGCACCATTCTGAGTAGGGTGATAAAGTCCCAATGTCCAGCTCTGTCCCTGGTAGGTTGTGAATCCTCTCTTTGTCCAGCTTCTCCATGTTGTGATATCAGGTCCTGCCCATTAGTCACTAGGTGTCTCTTAAGTCACCTGTCCCAGGATGACAGAGCTTGTGTTTGTGTCACCTTATTTGGCTAATAATGGCCCCAAGGTGCAAGAAGAATGATGCTGACAATTTGGAGATGCCAAAGAGAATCCGTAAAGTGCTCCTTTTAAGTGAAAAAGTGAAAGTTTTCAGCTTAACAAGGAAAGAAAAGACGTGTATGCTCAGCTTGCTAAGATCTGCAGTTAAGAATGGATCTTCTATTTGTGAAATTGTGAAGAGGGAGAGAGATTTCTTGTAAGTTTCATGTCATACCTCAAATTGCAAAAATTAACAGCCACAGTATGTGTTAAACTGCTGAGTTTAGATGGAAAAGATATTAAAGTTGTAGGTGGGAGACATGAGCAGAAAGATGCCAGGTCAATGACAGCATGTTGAACCAGAAACTGTTGAGCCTGTACTCAGACTCAAAGAGCCCTTGACTAGCATCTCCAGCCATGTACTGGGAGTGAGTGTCCTGCTTCATATTAGCGATTGTTTACCTGTTACTGTGCTTTTCAAACTTGATCACAGGTGTGTGTTGGGAGAACGTAGTGTAGATAGGGTTGCAGGTATCCACTGGGGGTCTGCAACACATCCTCCATGGGTAAGGACAAATTGCCATGTCCCTGTTGGCACATAATGTGGTTATGAAAACTTCAGGAATTCCAGGAAAAAAAATGAATAAATAAATTTAGCAAGGCTAACACACACATCAATCATAGTTCCATATACTAGCAATGTACAATTGGAAACTAAAATTACTTTAAAAAATATTTATAGTAGCTGTAAAAGCAATGAGATACTTAGGTATAAACTTAACAAAATAATCACAAGATCTATACCCTGTAGACTACAAAATGGAAATGCAGGAAATCAAAGACCTGCTTATAGGGGAGAGACATGCTAAGGTCATCAGTTGGAAGCCTCAACATTCTGAAAATATAAATTCTTCCCCAAATTGATATATTGATTTAATGGGTTTTCAATCAACATTGTAGCAGAGTTATAGATATAAGTCAGCTAATTTTAAAATTTAAAAAGAGCAAAGTAATTGAAATAGCTATAACAATTTTGAAAAAAGTAAAGTTGGAGGAAACCCACAATTTTAAGATTTACTTTAAAGCTACAATGATTAATTTGTGGTTGTCAGCAAAGGAATGGCACATAGGTCAATGGACCAAGAGAGAAGAGTCCAGAAGGGCCCATCCTAACTCAGCCCTCTGAGTTTGAACGGAACATGGGGACAGGAACCCAGTGGTGAAAAGTGTGGTCTGTTGGACAAGTGCTACCAGAGTGCTGATCACTGCGTGCTGACAGACAGCCCCGACCTGCATGTCATGGGTTGACTTCACCCATGGGGACCCCACTGAGGGAAGAGTCAGTGAGTAGAGAGGCACTTCAAAGAGAAAGAAAAGACAAACTACAGGCTGTTAGAGAAAATATTTGTGAACCCTGTGTCACACTGAGCCATAGTGTCCAGAATATATGAGGGACACAGAGCTTTGAGAGACACAAAATAAAATGTATAATCATGGTGATCTCAAAATGATCACCACAACATTTTACACTTTTGCATTCTTATAAACCATTTTCTTCAAGTGCTGGAAGCTCACTTTTGTAGGCGTAAATGGATTCTTTAGAGCTGGAAAACCTCTGTGGGTGAGATTTTTACTGTAGGGAGCAGGAGACAATCACACAGGGCCAGGTCGGACTGCAGGTGCAGGGGTCACAACTTTAACCTCTATGGGTCTAGGAACTGAACGATGGCATTGGCTGTGTTGGTGGACACATTGTCATGGTGCAGGATGATCCCTGCAGGCCTGCCCTTGGCCACCGTTCTTGAAGCTTCCTGGAAAACTTTGGTGGGCACAACTGTGTGTGTCAGTGGTTAGTAATAGTTCTCTCTTCCTCCAGAAGAACAGCTGCAACATCACCCTTTTGGAGGAGAAAGGTACTGCCATTTTCTTTATTTTGGGCCTCGTAAAAGAAAAGCCGCATTGTGGGCTGAGGCTTACTCTCTGGGTGACACTGGTAAGTCCCAGTGTCACCACCAGTGATGTGTCAGGTGCATGTGGGCCTGCCTGTGTTGGGTCCCACTGGCATTTCTCACATCGTTCAGCATGAGTGCACCTTTGTTTGTGTCAGAGTGAGAGGTGCCATCAGGGTGAAACTGTCCTGACTTGAAGACAGCGATGCAGGGTTCTGGACCGTGCCTGCAATCTCACCTGTACACTGCTTCGGTGCCCTGAAATGTTCTCAGTCACTGCGGTCTCCAGATGCCTACTCCTCTCTTTGTTGCTCAGTAAAGTTTGGCCTCTTCTAAATTCTTGAAACCACTGAAAAATTGTCACAGGGGAAGGAGTAAGGTCCCCAAGAACCCATTGCAAATGCTCAAGACTTTGAGATTCTTTTAACCCACTTTTAAAATCATAGAAAATTATCACACAGAAGTGCTTTCTTCCTGGCTCCATAGCTGACGCCCACTGTGTGCTGTGGACAGAGATGAATGAAGCCTTCCAGTGGCATTGTGAGCTGAACAGGTTGAAACTTGCTTGGGACGATGAGAAGGGACACCACTCTCGCCTATATTTCCTGGAAGTAGAACAATGAACCATAACAAAGTCTTTCTAGAAACTTTCTTAGTGACCTTCATGTGAAGAACTCTCACAACTCGTCAATAAGAAAACAAAGTCTAACTACATGTAGGCAGAGGACGTGACTGCTCACTAAAGAGGTGTAAGAGGATGCTCCCCCTATTACCAGGCGGGGATATGTGGGGTAAACTACGCCGAGGCCAGGTGCAGCAGGCAAAGGGGCAGGTGGCGCAGCCACTTAGGGCAGCACTTGGGCACTTTCTTGAGAGGTAGAGCCTACTATGGTCCCTCCCAGGCATCTGCCCTAGAAAGATGGCAACTTGTGTCCACATAGAATTGCAGGGACAGCGCTGGCCTGTATCTCAGCAGTGAGGCAGTGGACACTTGACACCCCGCACCATAGCGTCTCAGCACCACATCTGTCTCAGGAGTATCTGCTGCGTGTGACTCCTTCACATGTGTCTGTCCTGAGGAGAGGCTGGTGTGGCTGGCGGGGACCACATAAGTCACTCTGTGCTGACTGTGGCTACGTGAGTCTCCCTAGCCTGCAGTTCAGAGAATTCTGCTGCAAAAGCTCTTAAAAAGTTTTACTGTAATAATTTATAAAGTAGAGTAAGTAGGAAAGCTATGGGACACAGTGCCGACACAGAATAGATGGGACAGCCACAGTGTACCTGAATGCTTTTGTGCCCAGGTCTTAAATTGTGGTTTCTAGCCTCAGCTGTGTTTTTTGATACATCATACCTGGGGCCAGGTGCATTCACAGGTGTGTCAGGCACATCTGCCAGTGGGTACAGCAATTAGCCAGCCAACTGGTGCGTTAGTCTTCCAACAGGTGTATCTGCCAGTGGGGTGTGTCTCTTAGCAGGTGTATCTGCCAGTGGGATGTGTCAAGTCAGTCAGCGGGTGTGTCTGCCAGCAGGTGTGTCTGCCAGAAAGTGCGTCAGTCAGCCGGTGCATCTGTCAGCAGTTGTGTCCATCAGTCAGCGGGTGCGTCTCCCAGTGGGTGTGTTAGCGGATTTGTCTTCCAGTGGGATATGTCAGTCAGTGAGTGGGTCTCCCAGCAGGTGCAGGAGCAGCTGGAACCAGATGTCTGACTCCTGCCAGAGAGTGCAGGGCCCATCCTGGCTGGGCTCAACTGGCCTAGGGACCACAGGGCAGTGGTCAGGGAAGATGCTTTGTCCCACATGTGGTTCTGGGGACCAGATACTGTGAAGGTCTGACACAGTCTGCAGCCCTGGGCAGGTAGTGGTGCAGGAGGGGGCAGTGCCTGCCAGTGGACCTGGCTGTGCCTGACCTCCTCAGTCCTGCAAGGAGGTCTGCATTCCAGATGCCCCAGTATAGGGAGGTGGTCTGGCTGGCCACTTCTCTTGCCAAGGCAGGTTGCTGCAGTGGACACGGGGCTGGAAGTGGACCCACTGCATTCACGTTGGTCTCTCAGTGGCTCTGCTAGTTCTCTGAAACAAAATGGTGACATTACAGCCTGTGCCCTGCTGGGCAGTGCCCAGGTCTCTGGAGGGAGGATGTGGCTGAGCACTGTCATATCTCTGAAGACCCAGCACTTCAGGCCACTCCTGTGTCCACTGCTGCAGTCAGGCTGGCTGGCAGTAAAAGGCCCCTGCTACTGCCACCTTGATATCAGGCCTGGCCAGGGGTGGGGCCCATGCTGCCTAAAGGACAATCCCCTAACTGTGTCAGCCCTGGGAGTCTCCCCTCAGCACTGGGTGACCTTTAGGACAGGGCATGGCTCAGACCAGGCTGGAGAGAAACAACCTCCCAGGGACCTGGGGACCCATCCTGGTCAGCATTTGTGCTTAGGGGATGGGAGGGAAAACCAAGTCCCAGGTTCCAAATACTGAGTAGAGCCAGCCTGCTAAGAGGGTGGGAAGGGCACTGGGTTGGGGAGAGAGGTGGTGGCTTTGGGGGTGCATCCACCCAACGGTAGATTCTGTCCCGTGCCCTGTGGCCTTTGTGTGCTCCACAGACCTGCTCTTTGCTATTTGTGGTTTCTGGGGCATAAATGCACCACAGATCACCCCAGGCTGCCTGAGGGGGATGAAAGGGCTGTGTGGGTGTGAGGGACTGGGCTGACTACTGTGTTCACAGGCAGTACCACTGGTATGATGAGCGGGGGAAGAAGGTGAAGTGCACGGCCCCGCAGTATGTGGATTTCGTCATGAGCTCTGTGCAAAAGCTGGTGACTGACGAGGACGTGTTCCCCACTAAGTACGGTGCGTCCTCCACTCATGGGGTGTGGGTCGGGTCACTGCTGGGGTGGTGGGAAGACACATGGGATCCTCTGGGAAGCCAGACTGGGTCAGGGTCCGTCCCATCCCTTCTCTGGGCCCTGCGGCTACATGGGTCCTTCACGAACCCACTGCCTGCCCGTGAGCCTGTGTCTGGACTGTAGGCTGGGCTGCCTCTTGTTGCACCTTTGCATCTTCCCCAACTGCCTGCCCCGCCCTACTTTTGGCCTTTGGAGAGAACCCTGACATCCAACATGATGTGGGTCCTGGGGCCCACTCCTGGCCAGTGTGGTGCAGCAAGCACCTGCCCTCAGGTGTCCCAGAGCTGGGGCCCAGCCACTCAAGGATACATTGGTGGGCAGAGGCCCTAGGGGAAGCCAGTGGCACATCCGAGACCCTCTGGGCTGGGCCTCAGACACGGGCATCTGCAGGCCTGTGACGCTGCCACCCCACCCCCCACCCCCCAGGCAGAGAATTCCCCAGCTCCTTCGAGTCCCTGGTGAAGAAGATCTGCCGGTACCTGTTCCATGTGCTGGGCCATATCTATTGGTCCCACTTCAAGGAGACCCTAGCCCTAGAGCTGCACGGACACTTGAACACGCTATACATCCACTTCATCCTCTTTGCCAGGGAGTTCAACCTGCTTGACCCCAAAGAGACCGCCGTCATGGATGACCTCACCGAGGTGCTGTGCAGCGGAGCTGGTGGGGGCAGTGGGGCTGGTGGGGGTCCAGGGGCACAGAACCACGTGAAGGAGAGGTGAGCCCTGGGTGGACGCAGCTGCACACGTGTGGAAAGACAGTCGCGTGTGTTCTGTCCATGCGTCTGCGTGTGCGTACATGTGCCTGGGCACACTCTCGGCAAGGGGCCGGGGACCCCGGCTGCATGGGAGAATGACTCCACGGATGCCAGCAGGGCCGCGCCGTGTTTCTTGGCTCCCTGTTGGGTGGGTGAGTGCCGTTTGTAGAGAAGAGCCTTTGGATTCATTCACACAACCAACATTTACTGGACTGATGCTTTGAGTTCCCTTCTGTGGGTTTTCCTTTCTCTGGTCTTCCAGGGGCTTTGCCCTTCCCTGCTCTGCCCTGCCCTCTGCAGGGCTCATGGCCAGTGGGGCTCCCTGTGACAGGCTGGGTTTGCAGATGGGGCTTCTGTTCTGTTTGTGGGGCGGACGCTCTTGTCCCGGCCTCGTCGGTCAATTAGGGGCATCCTGGGCTGCTTGACTGCACCCTACCACCTGCTCCTGTCATCCTGGGTGGGCTGCACAAGGACACAGCTGTCAGCAGAGATCCGCTATCTTAGTTCATCTGTTCACTTGTAATAAAGAGAATTCTCTCAGGTCAGAGCCTGTGTGCGTCCTCTATGTCTCAATGGCCCCATGATGCTGAAGGGGACTTGGCTGCCCCCTCCCCAAGGGGTGGCCCAGGGGCAGGTGTTCAGGAGGGATAGGCGAGGGAGTGCTCTCATCACAGGTTGCCACTCGTCCCCTGCCCCAGGTTGGACCACGTGCTCCTCCTAGGCAGGTGGCCGGGGATGGGGGATGCATGAGGGGGCACTTGGAAGAGAACCTGGGGGAGGGGCTGGTGGAAGCCCAGAACACATCCAGGACTGTTGTGGGTTGAGGAGATGGAGGGTGCTCTGGTGGGGCGAGGGCTGATGGACTGGGGCACTTTCTCTGTGGTGGGTTCCCAGAATGTCCGCTGCACACTCTGCCCTGCGCTGCCAGGGCTCCTTTGCCATCACCAGATCCTGGGGGCCAGCTGGAGGCCAGAGGCCCCTTCTCTGCACTGTCTCTGTCCAGCTCCCCAGAGTCCCTGGCCTCTTAAGATGTCCAGGGGCAACTTGAGGTCATCACAGCAGCCTGCAAAGGGTCCTGTGCTTTCTCCTTGACCCTGGGCTGCTCTGGGGGTCAACTGGAGGCAACTCTGGACCCCAGTAACTGGAGATGCAGCCTGCCAGGCTTATAGCCCTGTGGGGCCCCAGGTTGCCAATGAGACTTGGCCACAGGACTGGGCTTGGGAATCTGGGACATCAGGTGGACATCTTGGGGAAGGAGGGTGTAGCATGGCAGCACCATTGTCTCAGGCCAGGGTGGGCCAGGGATGTGTGGGGACTAAGGTTCCGGGCTGGGGTTGCAGGCAGTGGGCTGGGCATATAGCCTGGACCCACATGCACAGGGATGTGGGTCAGTGAGAGGGTGAAGGGAGAGCGTGGTGGGAAGCAGTTGGCAGAGGCGAGAAGGATGGCTGGGGAGCCCACCCTAGTTTGGGACAGGAGGTGAGGTGGCCTGTGAGGCAGTGGTGGAGAGCAGGGGCAGATGCTGTTCTCTCACCCCACATGGAAAGTGGGACCTGCAGGTGACCAGCTGGGGTCCTGCCTGGGAGACCTCTGAGCAGAGTGTGGCAGGGGCCCTGGCTTCTTGCTCCAGAGGGAGAGCTATAGCAAAAGGAAACTAGCACTCCATGGTCTGGGGAATCCTCAGCTTGTCCAATTTGCAAGAGACACTAAAATCAGGAGGAAAATGTGCTCTAGAGAAAATGTACACTAGAATTGAGAGTATAGCTGACAATCTTTTGCCAATACCATAGAAAGTAGAAGGGGTCAGAGTTGTCAGTCGCACTGAGGCTCCTCAGAGAGGTTAACTGTGTGTCTGACAGATGCCCTCCATCATCTAAGCAAAAGCTGAAAATAGAGAAAACATGATCTTGGAAGGATCTATAGACAAGCCTGTCTCACAGGGTGAAGTTCCATGATAAACGCAGGGGACCCACAGGATTCCTGAGAGTGTCACACCATCAGAAACCTGCTGGCTTGGCCTGGAAGGAATGGGGAGTGGGGGATCCCAGACACCTGTGGCAGGGAGCAGACTGACAAGAGGGCAACTTAGAGGGTGAAGGTGTGAGTATGGAGGGCAGCCTGGAGCCACAGAAGGGGCTATTGCCAGGCCTTACTGAGACCTGATAGACATGCCACCTGGATTTCAAATTTCTTGGGACCAGTGACATATATGTCCCTTGACTTTTTCCCTTTTAAAGTGAGAATATCTTTAACTGACATTCTGGGTCTGTCTGGGTTGTTCTGGAGGCACACAACTGTGTTCTAGCCCCTCAGGTGTGTGGGCAATGGGTATTTTGCCTCAGGATGGACCATATCCAAAATCTCATCCACAGCTGATTCTGATGAGATTTGGGACTTTTCAGTGGGTAACATGCAGATAAAGTTAGAGACTTAACTTGATGATGTTTTGTTGAAACTTAGGGTATCTGGGGATGGGGTGAGGCATTTTGCATGTGTGAAACTTTGGGGGTCAGGAGGTAGATTGTGGTAGGTAGAATAATGTCCCTCACTCCCAGGTAGGTCCACATCTGATCCCATGGGACCTGCCACTGTGTCACCTGACACAACAAAGGGGCATGACTGTTGGAATTGGTGCTGATGAGCTGACTCTGGGGTGACATTATCTATCAGTCCCAGTGTGATCACAAGAGTCCCTGACTGTGGGCGAGGGGAGGGCTTGGCCTGGTGTCCTCTGAGGATGGAGAACTCGGGTGCTTCTAGGAGCTAGAAACATCAAGGATGGGGCTCTCCCCATAGCCCCAGGAGGGCACACCTGCCAATTTATGAGGGTACCAGTTCCTGCCTCTGGAGCTGTAAAATAAGAAATTTGTGTTTTAAGCTGTTAAGTTGTGGGAACTTGTTTGGAGTAGCAAAAGGAAACTAGTCCACCTACATAAAGGCCAGGGGCTCTCGAGGGGCCTTTTTGAGGCCCATGAGCATACTGGGCTTAGAAGGAGCTAAGAGCAGCATGACTTCTCCCTGATTACCTCTGTCCCTTGCCAAACCACACCAGGAGAGGCTGGTGTGGGGAATGGAGGAGGCAGGTGTCCACTACGGGGTGGGGCAGGGCCAGCAGTGGGGCCAGGCTCCTCTGTGGTGTGGACCCAGGCACCCCACCCTGAAGCTGCCTGTAGGGTTCACTTTTGTCCTCCCAGCTCTGAAGCTTGGGACACCAGGAGTGGCCTCCCTTCCAGCCCAGGTGACTCCTCTCAGGGCACAGCCAGGCCTGTGGCTTTTGGGGCTTCCTGTGCTGGCTAAGCTTGAGGGCAGAAGTCAGGTGTCCCCAGCTACCTCCCACCTACAGGCCATTTGAGGGGCTCATCATATTCAATTTGTTCACTTAAGAACCTAGGCTTTAATGGCAACTGGTGGCCAGCACTGACCCAGCATGTTGGGCTGGCTTCCTGAAGAATGAGCAGGGAGCTTCAAGGTCACCTCCAACGAGGCTGCCAGACCCTTAATTTCTTCATAGAAATGGTGTGAGGTCATTCCACCATTTGAGTAACACTCAGCATAAGGCGCTCAGAACCATGTCTGCCCATGGTCCTTAAACACTTGCTCCAATGTTTTATGTAAATACTGACAGGTTTTGGCTCAGTCACATCTCAGCTTGACTTCTGTTCCTTATAACTAACTTGGTGTCAGAAGTGGGATAGCAGGTAAAGGAGCCAGAGGACAGTGAGGTGTGCAGGCAAGGAGGAGACAGGGCCCACGAGTGTTTGCTTTCTTCTGGAACCCCAGTCATATGCCATTAAGTAAGGCTGACTTTGCACAGTACGTGTTTAGAGGGGTTGGGGTGGGTTTGCAGGTGGGGCATGTCTGCTTTTCTCAGTAAAGGTGCAAGAGCACAAGTAGTGCAAGAGCACAAGTTGAGGGGACCTCCAGCCTATGGCCAGAAACAGTCTTGTGCTTGCTGATGTACTATCCAAGTTCCTTCCCTCCACCTATTTTTAAGGTAAAATTAACTGGCAGGCTGCAGTCCAGCACTTGCAGCAGAGTCTCACTCTCTTGGCCTCACTAGTGCCTTCTGCTCTGGGCACCCCCACTCCCTGGGGGGCGGCACTGTGATGTTCAGTGCAGGGCAGAGAAGAAGGCTGACCCAGCTCCCCCTCAGCAGACTTTTCCACATGGAGGCTTTGCACCTGAGTTGACAGCCGCTGCTGATTGGCAAAGCCTCAGCTAACCAAGTCAGACACCTTGGTGCTGTGCTGGCTCCTACAGCAAGAGGGACAGAGTTAAGATGCTTGAACTCTGAGGCAGTGGTTCTCACCCAGGTGACCGCCTATGGAGACACATGGCCATGTCTGGCAACATTTTGGGTTGTCTGGAGAGGCATAGGGTGGCAGCCACTGGCTCCTGCTGGGCAGACTCCAGGGACGCTGCTAGCACCTGCAGTGCACATTATGTCCCCAGAGGACCACCCAGGATTCAGATGGCAGGTGCCCTGGGAAGGAGCCTTCTTGGATGGTGCAGCCAGGTGTCCTCCATGCTGGGAGTGCATGTGCATGAGAGGTCAGGGCAGCTCTGAGGTCTGTGCCTGTCCTCAGGCTGAGGTGAACTCTCAGGTGCTGCCCTTGGACATGGGGCTGGACCCATCTTTTGTGCTATAGTAGAGGGGGTCCTGGGGCTCCCAACTTGGCTGCCCTCTGTGGTGGGCATGCTAGGACTGTCTCCCTTGCTGTGAAGGCTGGGTCACAGAACCCTGTCCCAACTCTTCAAACAGGGAGCAGGAAACAGGTTCATTCTTTTTTTTTTGAGACAGAGCCTCAAGCTGTCCCCCTGGGTAGAGTGCTGTGGCATTACAGCTCACAGCAACCTCCAACTACTGGGCTCAAGCGAGTCTCCTGCCTCAGCCTCCCAAGTAGCTGGGACCACAGGCGCCCGCCACAACGCCCGGCTATTTTTTTTTTGGTTGCAGCCGTCATTGTTGTTTGGCGGGTCCAGGCTGGGGATTCGAACCCGCCACCTTAGGTGTACGTGGCTGGCGCCTTACCCGGTTGAGCTATAGGCGCCGAGCCAACAGGTTCATTTTTAAGGAAAGCCCAGGTGCTGGGCAACCCCCATACCAGTCTTGGGGCAGTAATGAGGCACAGTGGAGAGTTTGAAGACGATGCTGCTCCCTGGCCCCACCTCTGGCTGGGGCAGCCTCTGGGGTGGCCAGACATGTTGGGAATGGATGATGGCCCTGGCCGCATGTACCTTTGTTCTCCTCAGCTGACCACTGGGGACAAGCGCAGTCCAGGCTACCCCAGACCCCTTCCCACGCCCGCCCTGCCCGGACGGAGACCTGGCAGTAGGTGTCTTTATGGAAGGAATTTATTGTTCCAGAACTGAAGTTGCTCACAGTTATCTGACAGGGGTACACTGGATGGGGCTTGTCCATGTCCAGGATGTCTGCGTGAGTCCACGTGTGCCCGAAGTACAAAAGAGGAAGGCTGATGGGAGGGACTGCTTTCCGTGTCCTCCGTCTCCATGAGTAAGCCCCTTCCCGCTTGTACTACGGGGCTTTTGCTGTTATAGGTGTTTAATTTTTGTCTTATGTATAGAAATCCCAGCCTGTGGTAGAGGTTTAATGTTAACAGAAGCATTAAAATCTATACACGAGGAGGGGAAGGGAGACAACCAAAGAAAATGGACCGGTCACAGCAAAGGCATGCATCCAAACGGCCACTGCCGCCCGGCCTCACCGGCTGCACCAGGGCGGTTTGTGGCCAGCAGGGAGGGGCTGGGCTGCCGGCACAAAAGGGACATGAAGGGGAGCGGAGATGGGGGCAGAGCTGCAGGCCACTATGTGGGCTGTGCCCTCACCCACTACGCACCAGGAGGGACAAGCTACGGAGCATGGGCCACTCTTTCTGTCCTTTGTTGTTTTTTTTTTTTAACTTTTTTCTATTTTAATAAAAAAAAGCCCCACAGTGCACCTGCTATCCTGTGTGTGATGGAGGCCAGCCTGGGTCCTTCCTCTTGCCCTGTACTCACTGACACAAGCATACCCCAGCCTGGGTCTGGACAGAGGGGCCCGGGCAGTGCCGTCCCAGAGTACGGCGTCCACCCTCTGCCTGAGCCCCCCAGAATTTGAGCTGCTGCTACACGGTAATAAAACAGAACCCAGGACAGCTCGCCGCGTCATTCTTTAAATATATATGTATATGTTTACAGAAATAACCGAGCGGGAACTGCAACACAAAGGCTGGCCCTGCCCCAGCAGCCCCCCCACACCCTTTTCCAAAAACAACCAAGAAAAAAAGTTTATAAAAATATCTTGCAGGAATTCTTTAAAGTTTACAGTAGCTTGCCGGTGCTGCACCCACCGCTGGCCCCACTGCCCCCCGCGCCCCTTGTGTGTCCTGGGAGGGCACTGGGCCCCTCCCTGCCCGAGACATGTGGCTGGGCCGCCCTTCCCTGAACAGAGAAGTGAAGACACTCAGCAAATTAAAACAGCTAACAAGACGGCCCTCGCCTAGCTCATGGCGGTGCTGGCGCCCAGGCTCTCCATTTCCACAGGAACATCAGAGCCCGTGGCCCCCAGCTGAGGTGCGGAATGTGGATGCAAAGGAGACAGCAAGGCTGACAGATGAGGTGAGGGCAGGAGGTGGGCGTCAGGTGTGGCGGTGGTGGGCCAGGCGTGCCAAGGGGTCTGTCAGTGGGAGTCTGGGTCAGCCAGGCTGGAGGCGGCTTCCCCCTGGAGCCTGGTCCTCCTCCCACAGGACACTCAGGGTTGAGACCAGGTGTGAGCTGCTGTGCAGGTGAGGAAAGGGCGATGGACAGGGCCTCGCTGCCCGGCAGCAGCAACAGCAGGAGTGGAGGGAAGGCAGGTCCGCGGCAGCCGCCTTCCATCAGCCAGTGTCCAGCGTGGAGCACAGAGGATGGCCTCGTGGAGGTGACATGTTAACTTTTCGGGATAATTCCTGGTATCAGAGTGGAAACAAGTGATGCTGTCAGAGACAGGGACTGCAAGAGAGAAAGAGCGAGCGCGTTGCCCAGCCCGCAGGCCACGGCCCGCCATGCCCTTCCTTTCCTCCCAGGCTTCATGACTACAGTCCAAAGGGTGGGCGCAGGCGGCCGCTGTCAGTGCTGTGCTGGGGAAGGGGCTAGTGTGTCTAAGGCTGCTCGCGGCGGGTGGTGGGCGGCCCCATCTTGGCCGTGTCCTTGCCCGCCGCCGGGTACTCGGCGTCCCCTCCAGGGCCAGGGCCAGCGGCCGCGGAGTCGCCGAGTGGGCCGTGGGCGCTCCGCTTGGCGGGCGTGCTGGGGGCCTGGGCCGCCTGCCCATTCTTCTCGTCTGAAAAAAGTTGTTTAATTACGTCAAAGAAGTTACTCAATGGGCTGCCTGGGTACATAGAACAGAGACAAAGAGAAAAGAAAAAAAAGGGGAGAGAAAGAGGAAGGGAGGGAAGGAGAGAGAGAGAACAAACAAACAAATGAACAGAGGGGCCTTGACAGAAAGGGAAACCCAACAGGATGATGGCTGAGATGAGGGTGGAGTGGGCACAGGCGAGTAGCAAGCAGGGAGCAGGTGGGGGTCCCTGTGTGCCAGGGGCTGTGTGGCTGGAGGCACCATGCTGTGGAGCCAGCAGCTCAGGACCTCTGTGCCTCTGAGTTGCCGCCTGAAACCCAGCTCTGGAGATGGCAGAGTAAAGGCAGCGCCTGTCAGGAACCCCGAGGCCAAGCAGGACCCAGGGGTCAGCTTCTGGCTCCCTGCATGAGGCCTGCCCTGGGGGTGTTGGCTGCCACCACCACCCAGTGGAAGGCAGGGAGAGGTGTACCTGCCACAGCAGCCCCAGGCCTAGAGCCTGCCCCTGGCCACATGGAGCAGACAGATGGAGAGATGGACAGATGGCTTGGACAAGCATGAGGGCATAGGAAGGCAGGCTGGGGGGACAGCAGCCAGAGTCAGGTTCTTGGTCCCAGAGGCAGGAGGAAGGGGCAGAAACCACCCGCTTATGGGGCCCTGTGTTCATTGTCCAGGTGGGCCAACGGGCCCCTCGATTCCACTTCCTAACCCTGACCCTACTTGAGCCCAAAGCTCCAGGCCCTTCCTCTTTGCACCAGGTGTAGCCGTCAGGGGCTGCACAGGTGGCCCCCTGTTCACCCTGACCCCAGGCCAGAGCTTGCTCCTGAGACCCTGTCTGGCCTTGGCCCTGGGGAAGTGGCTGGGCTGCTCCTGGATGATGTGGGGCGGGGCGTCTAGACAGTGGGGCCTGGATGTCACACAGGGAACCTGGGGCAGCCTGGGGGCAGTGGCAGTGGCCTGGGCTGCGGGTGATCAGTGGGCGTGGCAGGCAGAGGTGCAGGTGAGCGTGGGGGATTCTTACCACATTTGGAAAGCCGCCCCGTCATCATTTCCATACAGTTAGTGGTGTCTGGAGCACAGAACGGAGAGAGGAGGGGGAGAGAGTGAAAAGGCTGCCCCTGGGACTGTGGGCTGGACGACTGACCACAGACACTGGCCCAGGCTGGGAAGGGGTGGGGCTGGGAATGGGCTGCCCCAAAGTGGGCAGAGCTAGGACTGGGCAGAAACTGGAGAAGAGTGAAGCTAGAAGGGGGTGGACTCAGATGGGCCAGGCTGGGACTGGGCAGCCCCAGAGAGGGTGGGGCTAGAAGTGGGCAGGCCCAGAGGAGGACAGCCAGAAATAGGTGCCCCCAGCAGGAGGGCTGGGCAGGGACTGCACTGAGGCAGGGGCAGACCAGACAGAGACATCTGGGTAGTGGAGGGTCCCCTACAGTCAGAGCCTTGAGACTGGATTTGGTGGTTGCCCCATGTCTGCCAGCTCCTCCCATGTCCTCTGGCCACATGCACCTGCACTCAGCCACTCAGCAATGCTGGGCTGGTGGCTTCGCCCTTCAGCTCATTTTGGTACCCCCTTCTTATCCTTTTCTCACCCTGTGCTGGGAAGAGTGTGTCAGTACTGGCAGGGCTGGGGTTGTGACCCAGCCTGGAGAGGGTGCTGTTCCTTCAAGGCTCTCACATACCCATCTGACCTGCTGGGGGCCCCACCAGGGTGGCTACCAGAACCCCTGGGGAACTGGCAGTGCCTGAGGACCTCCTGTGGGGAGTGAGCTGAGCTCACAGACAACAGCGTTCAGTGTGGGAGTGCGAGCACCAGGAGATCCTTGGGGACCACAAGAGGACAGACTGGGTCCCAGGCTGATTGCCTCAAGTCTCAAGGAGAGCTAGATGGGTCCAGCATAGGTACCCAAGAGTCAGGGCAGGGCTGGAATGGGGCCCAGCAGGAGGGTGTTTCCACCTTGCTTACTGTGGGACCAGCACTTTGCACAGGGATCTGTGCTGAGGAACAGGGCTATACCTTGTGATGCGAGGCTCAAGTTGAGCCCCGCTGAGCCCTGCCATCCAGCCAGGAGCAGAGAGATACCTGGTGCTGGACAGTCACTACAGGTATACGGACACTGCAGCTCACCAGGCCTGTCTTTGCTTGCTCCTCTGGACAAGCTCGGACCCTCCTTGGCCTCCATGTTCCCAGTTTCCCTCCCTAAGACAGGCCTTAAAGGCTCAAGGAGCCAGAGGTCACTATGGGTTGACAGCACAGCTTCTGCAGCCTCTGCCGTATGACCACACCCACTGCTGCCTGGGGACCTGCCCCAATCCCCTGCCACCACACCCACCCATTTCCAGGGCCACTCTTTGGGCCCTTGGGCCCTCCACCCACCAATGGTGATGACTGTTTGGGGGGTTAGTCCACAGGTGATGGGATGAGTGTGGGATGAGGATGTGGGGTTGGGGGTGGGGCCAGCTCCGGCCTCCATGACCCCACCCAGAAGCACAGGTGTGACCCCAGCAGGCCACACCTAATAAAGAAGACAGGCTGGGAAAAGGGCCCACTAAGGGCCTAACCCACTGTAGGAGCTCAGGGAGGCTGGGGTTAGGTTAGGGTTAGCATGACTGACAGTGACGCCCAAGCTGTACAGCCATGGGATGCATGTCTGCTCACAAGTGCTAGACTGAGCCCATGCACCTGCCCTGCCGCACGCCAGCCCAAGGGAGCAGGTGGCACCCTGTCCCTGCCAGAACCTGGGCAGCCACTTGCCCTGTTTTAGCTGAGCCTCAGGCCCCTCTGCCCTAAGACAGAGGTCCAGGCAGTCAGGAAATGCTAGGGGGCTATAGCACACTGGGCAGACTGCAGCCCTCCTGGGGTGCTGTGGTGGAGGTGCCCTCTCAGGGCCTGTGTAGCTGCCCCTATGTCTGGCTGCCCAGCAGGTGGTCTGGCTGCCTGGGGCATGCTTGGCTGTCCTGGCTGGGACCTATAGGCGGGCATGGGGTGCCCTTCTCAGGACCTGCCCACAGCCCCCTCCCCACCCCGGTGGCAGGCCGGATACCTTACCTGCCAGCGTCAGAGGCTACTCTCGTAGCTGGTGGCCACCTTCTGGCCCTTAAGCCCAGCACCCCAGCTTAGTCCTGGCGCTGGCGGGGGGGGTTCTACAGTGGACAAGAGGCACCTTTCAGTGTGGTGCAGCTGGCCCTACATCCCTGGAGTGCAGAGGTGGGCCAGGCCCACTGTGCAGGGGGCCCTGCTCCCTGAGGTCGTCATGCCTCCCGTCCTCACTGCACCAGACGAGCTGAGCCCCTCACCTGCCAGGTGCTGGGCCGCCGGCTGGTCATGTGTGCTCAGCAGCTGGGCCTGGATGGTCTCCACCACCCTCTTGAAGCGGCGGCTTGGGCCTGGGAGAGGCATACCGTTACATCCCTGGGCAGGGCTGGGCCTGAGGCTGCCCCCCTGGCCACCAGCTCACCTGAAAGAAGAGTGAAGGTGACGGAGTAGATGCCATTCTCCTTCTGGGCCTCCCCACCCTCTGTGTAGGTAATGTCCACCTGGAACTTTACAGGCTTCTGGAACACGGCCGGGCCTCCAGTTGCCTTGTATTCAGCCCGGAAGCTTGTCTGGGAGATGACACTGTGACCAAGGCTGGGGATCTGCAGAGTGACAGGGTGGAGTAAGCGAGACCTCTGTGGCTCCAGCCCTCTTGTAAGCAACAGAGCAGCGAGGAGGCATGTCCAGCCCCACTCTCTAGGGCCCCCGGCACCAGGAGGATGAGGGCTGGGACCTACAGGTGGGCATGGGGAGTCCCTCCAGGCAGGCTGGGGGTTTCCCACACAGATTGAACACAGGCAGGCAGAACAGGAGGCAGGCTTTGTCAGAGAGCCTTAGACATGGGATGGGATGGGATGGGAGGGAGGGGTCTGGAACTCCCTGCTTTCTGCCATGTATGGGGACAGTGGTCTTCTGCCTGGATAATGTGCAATTGAACTTGGTCCCCCAGCACACAGGGCTCTGATGCCCAGGACGACACTGGGGACGTGGGTGGAGGGAAGGGTGTCAGGCCACAGTGGAGGCCCAAGGATGCCAGTAGGCTGCAGGCGGAGAAATGGAGGGAACCCCAAGGGACCATGGTGAGGCCAGCCCTATGCTAGAGAGGCTACTACACATGTTCTGGTCTGCTCCTGCCATATGTGCCAGCAGCCCGCTGCCCAGAGGGGGCCATCCTGGGACAGGGCGACTTCCCCAGCCAGGTGCCAGCATGTGGCAGTCCTGGGGGTTGGGGGCTTTAACATCCTTTTCTGCTCTTCATATGCCAGAGATCCCCAGCAAAAATAAATGAAGCCCACCAAGGCGTGGCGCACAGCCCACCCTATGGGGTGCCACCAGGATTGGCAGGCAGAGGCCAGCTCAGCTTGGAGGTGAACTCGGGGTTAGGAGACGGAGCTAGGGCTGGGTGTCTACCCAAGGGCAGCAGCACCCATACAAAGTCCTATGAGTCACAGTCATGCCTCTGCTGTCCCCTCCCTCTGAGATGTGTGCTGCCTGTGTCACCCTGGATCTCAGGGAGGTGTTGGGGCCCCGGAAGCCCAAGGTGGGCAGGAGAGAGTGCTTGGCTGGTGGAGGGAGGCACACAGATAGTGGACGTCCATGGTCCTGCTGGCATGGCTCACCGACAGGAAGGCATGCACGATGTCAGCCTTGATGGAGCTGAGAGGCTTGTCTTTGATGACCACAAAGATCTGCTCCTCCTTCTCCAGCGTGATGAAGTTGCCAAACCAGGACTTCTTGGCCAGCCTGGACATGGGAACAAGGTGCTATGGGCAGTGTGGGGGGGCCTGGCGCACACCCCCACTGCCCTGACCTGGGCCGGGGCACTGAGCACCCAAGTCCACTGAGATGGGGCATCTCTCTCCACAGCCCCAACCAAGCTCTGCCCTGAACATTCCGACCTTATCCCAAATGCCTTAACCCTAACCCACACCCTAACCTAAATGCCCAACACCCTACCTGACCCAAAATGCCCACACCCAACCCCCCCAAAATCCCCAAGCATCTTAACCCTGTCCCCAAACCCTAACACAGCCAAATACTCTAACCCAAATGTGAGCACTCTAACCCCGATTCCCTGACTCCAACACAAAAGGCCCTAATCCATATGCACCACCCCAAATCCAAACACCTGAACCTGTCCCTGGCCTAACCTTGGTTCTCTAACCAGCTACCAGGCTCTGCTCTGCTGCGCCTGTTGAGCTTCAGAGTATTGTGGTCAGTGCCATACTGAGGGGCTGGGGAGCTGTGCCCCTCCCACCCAAGGGTCTCCTCACTCCCCAGGGCTGTACTCCCGTCCTGCATGGCTACCATGCCCTGCTGCCCCTGCCCCTAGACCTCCAGATCTGGCAGGGGAAGAGTTGGTCTGCCCAGATCCCACCACAGCCACATGGCCCTCGGTGCCCAGAGGCCCTTGTGATGGGCCATCCCATCCAGGGATGGTGTGACCTGCTACAGTACTCACCTGTCCCTGCACAGCTCCCCAGCCTGACACAGCCCCACCTGTTTGCCTGCCAGCCTTGGTGCTCATGCCCCTGCCCCAGCCCCCACCTGTGTGCAGCTCTCCTACTGTGTGCCATCCTTCTGGCTTGCCGCCCATCTCTAAGCCTGGGGATACCCTGTGGGGGCAGGGCTAATGCTGGTATCCCAGGTGCCCCCATGGCTCCCCCAAGTGAGGCCTGTGACTTGCCTCCAACCAGGAGGGTTTGGGAAGTATGAGGGAGTGTCACTCTGAGTGAGGTCACAGGCTGTTCACTCACATCTGGCTGGCCAGCTGCCCACTGACATGGCATGGAGGCCCTGCCCAACAGCCCACAAGGATCTGCATCCCACCCACACATGGAACTTGGAAGCAGCCTGGTGTTGACTGTAGTCCCCACAGCATTGTGCCCAGCAGAGCCATGCCCAGATTCTTGACCCACGGAAGCTGCGAGATGGTTGAGTGTTGTTTGAACTGCTAAAGCTCTGGACAGTTTGTCACATGGTCATAGCTAACTAATACATCCAACAGACTTCCCTTGAAGCTACAGCATGGACATGTGACCTGGGCTCTACTAATCTTATGTTCCACCGAGGTTGGGGGCCAGGCTCCAAAGAGGCAGGGACTGGGAGAAGGCCATGAGACCATACCCGTGTCTGGAATACCAGTTGGTGCTTGGCCATCTTGGCCTTCTTGGCACTGCCACACACCAGCCCCGTATCACGACCTCCTGCTTGAGGAACTCAAAGTCTCCAGGTGGTTCAGGAAACCACAGATGGGAGTTTCTGTATGTTCCTCCCTTGATAAAGGTGACCAAAGAAAACTGATAAAAACCTTATTTTTTTTGTACTTTGGGACCTGGTAGGGTGGCATTTGTCAAACACAGTCCAGCATCTGAGAGCGCAGGCGTGTGGTGGTGGGCCCAATGGGTAAACACCATCCAGATGTTAGTATGAAGGCATTTTAGAGAACCAGCGCCTGGCCCAGGTGCCTCTGAGCCATGCTGGCCACTCTGGTGGCAGGTAGGCTGTGTCCCATCAGTTGAAGGGTTTAAGAGGAAAAGACTGAGGGTTCCCAGAAAAGGAAGAATTCCCTCAAGACTGCAACAAGGAGGCTCTGTGCCTGTAGCTCAACTGGCTAAGGTGCCAGCCACATATACCAGAACTAGTGGGTTCGAATCCAGCCTGGGCCTACCAAACAACAACTATAGCCAAAAAAAAAAAAAAGACTGCAACCAGCAAACTGCCTGAGCTCCAGCCTGCAAAGTCCAGACTCCACGTCAGGCCTCACCTGGGTTCCCAGGCTACATATCTCTGACAACCTCAGGAACTGGCTCCTAATGTGGAAACACGCACATGGGCCGGCTAGTGTCTGGAAAGCTAGGCTGGAGCAGGGCTGGAGCATGTGTGATGGACAGTGAGTTTGTCTTCGGGAGGAGCAGCTGTTGGCAGGAGAATTGTGCTGGACCCTCAGGAGTAGGGAGGAGGCATGGGCCACTGGGCTGGCTCCATGCAACTGGGCATCTGTCCCAACTCTTCTGAGCTTGTGAAAGCACTTGGCAGCAGCAGGAACCACAGCTTTGGTTGATGTGATGTGATGTCTTGAACCAAGGGCCTCGGGGCTCACTCTGTGCCTACCCAGGGGTGGTCCAGCTGGCCCAGAAAGTCCAGATCCGTGGGACGCCAGTCCTCAAATACAGACGATGCTCCTGGAGGGCTTGGTGTAGAACAAGCAGCTTCCTGACAGGCCCTTGTTTAGCACCAAGGGCAGGATTAAGGTCTCTCCCTTTGGCTGTTTCCTGAGGTCACTTGTCCAAGGCCCCTGCACCCCTAGCTTAGCCACTGCTCCTTGCTGCTGCCCTGCATGGGTTCACCTGTGTGTTCATGTGTATACACTGTCAGCCACTGAGACACTGCCCCACTGCAAGGGCCATCGTGGAGGGGCTGGACATCAGGAAGGGAAGACACCTGGGCAGGCAGCCTGGGATATCTTAGTGTCCAAAGTCTGCGGCTGTGTCCTCCACGGCTTCCTCTTGCATGTTGCTGAGTCCCAGGCTCAGAAAGGTAGGAACCAGGCTTCCAGCCAGCCCACCCTGCCCTGCACCTACTCCCAGCCCCGTCCACATCTGGATTCTGCCAAGGCCATCTGTCATCTGCCACGTGTTCCCGCCAGGTCCTGCTGTCCCATCACCAGTCCTTCCCCCTCCTGAAGACCTGACCATCCCTAAGAGCCCCTGTTTCTGCCCAGGGGGAGCCCCGGCCTTGGGGACTTTGCCCAGTGCCCCACACTCAGCTTCAGCCAACTCCAGTCCCCCGGGGCAGTGGCTCCTGAGTTGGGCACCTCCCACTGGGCCCCCAGTAGCAGAGCTGGAAGGGACCTGGCAGCAAGAGGAAGGCACTCCTTGCGAGAGGCAGAGGGACCCAGGAGGACATGCAGGAGCTCTGTCTGTCTCCTCCCTCCCCAGCTACCTGGTGTCAGACCCTAAGCAGAGACCACTTACTCTGGGGACGACTCCGGGGTCAGATTGGACATCTCCTCCGGTGTTGGGACTGCACGTGGGATGGGGGGAGGCCCAGTGAGTGTGCTGCCTCCCTGCCCCGGGCCACCTTGCACTGAGGCAGGGTCTTTAGGAGCCCACCAGCCCAGGGACAAAGGTTCCCCATCCCCCCACCCTCCTGGCTCCTGGCCACTGAAGGGCCGTGGGAGCCTCTGGTAATGAAGGTGGGCTGAGCCTTCTCTGGGCTCGGGCCAACCCCAGACGAGGCAAGCCAGTGTCTGCTGGCCCTCAGCACCATGCCACAGGGTCTGCAGTCAACCAGCACCCACACTATGGGAGTGCCTCTCCGCTGGGCCTGGCTTGTGACATGCTCAGTGGGAGGCTCAGGGACACATAAACACCCAGAGGTTCTAGCTGCACCTAGTGGACAGAGCCTACTGCCCCACGCCGTCAAGGACACAGGTATGTGGAGGCTGCGGGGCAGGTGCTGGATGTTCTCAGAGTTGGCAGCTGCCTCTGATGCCCCAACCACGGCAGGCTCTCTCCCCACCCCTGCTTTGTCTGGAGCCCCCTGCGTGGGCTCACCCTGCAGTTTCCGGCGGTGGAAACGGGGTGACCCCAGGAAGCTGTTCTTAATAGAGTTGAGCCGCGTCCTCCAGGGCACTCCTCCAACACTGGGGCTGGACGGCGGTGTGGGGTTGGGTGTACCAGCTGGGCTCTCCTTTGGCGTGTGGACAGGCGTCCCCTTAGGGGTAGGGAGGGGACTGCCCCTTGGTGAGGGGTGAGGGGTCACCTGTATGGTGGGGATAGATTTGGTGTTTGGTTCAGTCCCGGTGAGTGGGAGCTGGGTGGGCCCCAGGCTGGTGGTGGGAGGCCAGGCCTGGGTGCTGGCCGGGAGTGGGTTGGACTTGGTGCCCTGCAGAGGCCTGTCGGTCAGCTTGGCCTTGCACGGCAAGGTCTGGGTCTTGGGGTTGGGCCGTGGAAGGAGGACGTGTCCGGGCCGTGAGGTGCTTCGACAAGCTTCGGGCTCCATGGAGGTGGCTGGGGGGCAGGCCACAAAGGCCGGTGTGGGGAGTGGGGGGGGCAGAACAAACTTTCTAACAGGCTACAGGGACACAGGCAGCAAGCAGTAGGTGTGAGGCCCGGCCCACCCGCCACATGCACACGCATGCACATGCCCCGGACCAGATGCATGTGAGCAGGGTCAGACGGCCATGGGGAAGCAGCAGGTGTGGGGGGTAGGGTTGCCACAAAGGAAAACAAGTGACGGACGAGAAAACAAAACAAAACAAAAAAAAACGTGCAGTTAGCGAGAGCAGCCCAAGCCCCAAGCCTCTGCACAGTGGGGACTGCTTCCTGGCAGGGCCGCAGCAGCCTGTCCCCCCACCCTGGCACACTCAAGAGGTGGAGGGACGCAGCCCTGTAGCCTGGGACTAGCTGTGGTCACTCACCCGGGGGCTGCTGAGTGGGCTTGTGGACAGGCCTGAGGAGGCTCCACTGATGGATCGAGACCTGAGGACACAGTATGGGGCTCAGACTCTTCTCTCCCGAGGGCCCCTTCCAGAGGGGGAGCTAGAGCTTCTGGGGGACAGAGGGCCCTGATGCTTGTGTGCCCAGGACAATCCCCCAGAGCCCAGTGTGGCCTGGCCTGACATCTTCCCTAGCACACCACAGGCTGTGGCACTGAGGGCCTTCAGCAAGGGACTGCTGGACCTTGGGTGGACAGAGGGACAAGAGGATGAGACCAGCTTCCTGTGGATCCAGCCCCTCCAGCCCCAGGCCTCCCAGCCCCAACTTCTTGAGCCCAGTTGCCTACGCTGAGGGGTCACAGTGTCTGGCCCCCAGCCAGGCACTAGCCTGGCCCTCCACACAATAGCTGCCCATGGCAGATGCCCAGTTAGGCCTTGGCCCTCCTTTGGCTACACCCCCCAGGGTGCAGTACACAGGTCTACAGCTGCCTCAGGCAGGTCCAGGGCTCTGTGTTCCTCATGCCCCGAGAGCAGTAGGAAATAGCCACTTACTCTGCACAGCGGTACTTGCCTTGGGGGTACGGAGGGCAGTCCCAGAATAGGACAGAGCAACTACCACCCCACATTGCCCACTGCCAGTGGCTAGCCCTGCAGCAAAGACCCTCAGCTCCCACACTTGACACAGCTTAGGGGCTGGGGAGGTGGCAGTGACCCCACCAGAGGCAGCAGCCATAAGCCAGCCCCAAAGTCTCCTGCAGCCCTGCCCCACACAGTGGCCTTAGCCTGGATCCAGACCAGTGGGCAGATGTCAACCAAGGCAGCCCGTGAGGGGTGTGGGCTGTAACCTAACCCAGGAAGGGGACACCACATACCTCTGGCTGTGCTGGGCCATCTCGATGGCTCTCCGTGCAGGCACTGGGGAGCCACCGTCTGTCACACTGAGCACCTCCATGGATTTACGCTCTGGCCGCCGCTTGCCATGGCGGTTCAGCATCGGTGAGTCCACACGCTTCCGGGGAGGGTCTGTGCACAGATGGGGGTCATGCAGGTGGCCCTGGCCCTTGGGGTGCAGGGCCAGGCTCGTGGGCCATACCTATCTCGTTCCGGGGGGGCAGGTCTTCGTCCTCCTGGCTCGGGTACCTCTCCTTTCGGTCCAGGAGGAGGAAGTAAATCATCTTCTCCTGGTTCTCCCTGCATCAGGAGAGGCGTGGGTGCTGGCACATGTGCCCTCATGCCCAGTAGTCGCCCTCCCGCCCCCATGAGGTCCCCACGCACTCCTCGGACAGCAGGTCCTGCAGCAGCTTGTTGCGGTCCCGGAAGCAGCCCAGCGAGTGCATGCTGTCCAGCACATCTGGGTCGATGTCATCCAGGCTGGGCAGGGAGCGGATCTGCACCTTGCGGGGCACAGGCTGCTCAGGCTCCGGCTCGTTCTTGCCTCCTCTGTGGACATAGACCCCACTGTCCATCATTCCCTGTGGCCTGGCTGAGGTTCCTCCTCCCCATCCTGAGGCGGCAGGCCGGAGGGTGGGAGGCTGCCCAGGCCTGGTCCCAGGTCCTACCGCTCTCCCTGCACCCGGCCCTGCAGGCCTCCTGCGTCCTGCCCGCACCCCCGCACCCCGCACAGGCCGAGGGCCGGGGTGGGGGCAGGCCTGCACTGGCCTGCACCCTCCCCCAGTGCCCCTGGCAGGGCCTCCAGGCCACAGCGACAGGCAAGCAGATGATTAGTGGGTGAAGAGCTACTTACATATACCATATGTGTTTCTGAATGTGCTCTAGCTACAAGGAAAGAGAAACAGGAGTTAGTATAGAGGAGGAAGTGAGGGGAGGGTGTGGAGAGCGAAAGGGGAGGGCAGGCCAAGCTGTGTCCCACAGGCTGGCCAGCACCCTGCCCTGCACTCCACGTGGAGGAGGAAATGAGGGTCTAGGGCAGGAAAGAAGTCGGGAAGGGTTGCCAGGCAGGGCAAGGGCCTGGGTAGGGGGGAGGTGAGGCAGGGCAGCTGGAGCCACAGCAGGCACAGTCACCTATGCTGCCCATGGGCTCCAGGAGGGACCCAAGGCAGGAAGCAGGGAGCAGCCAGAAGGAGCTGAAGCTGGGCACCTGGCCCACCTGTGTGGCAGGGCAGAGCTGGGTGCAGGTGCGAGCAGGAGGCCCCTTCTCCCCACCCTGACTCGGGGGCAGCTCACGGGGTAGAAGGCAACTACTGTCCTGACACTGGACAGCCCTGGAGGAAGCCGGCATGGGTCGGCAGGGGTCTACACTTGTGGGCATGTAGACCCGTCCCCACACACCTTGACAACACTCTACACACCTGTAGACATGTCCCCACACACCAGTATATGTGTCTCCACACGTGAGCAAGGCCACACACCTCTGGACGTGTCCCCACACACCTGCACAATGATCTTACACACCTGCAGGACTGCCCCCCACTGCAGAACTGGCCCGGTGCCCACTCCACAAGTGATGGAGCCACTCAGAAACCATTTACACTGCCTGAGGTCTTGCCCCAAGAGTATCCAGAGGCAGGATGGCAGTAACAGGGGTCACCATTGCCATAGCACACTCACAGGCACAGGTCTGTCACCCATCTGTGGACACACCCAACCCCACATACCCAGGCACATACCTACATATACCTACATATGTACCAAAACATAGACCTGGAACAAACTCACACATGCCTGCGCACACACACCTGTGCAGACCACTCACACCTGGACAAACTCCCCACATACCTGGGCAACGCCCCTGCACATACACCTGCATAACACCTGGGCAATGCCCCCCATACCTATGGACACGTCCCCACACACCTCAGGAACACCTCACAAACCTGTGGACATGTCCCCATACACCTGAGCAATGCCCCACATACCTGTATACATGTCCCTACACACCTGTAAACCTGTCTTCACACACCTGCACAATGACCCTACACACCTGCAGGATGCCTCCCTCCTTACAGACATACCCCACCTGCAGACATGACCACACACGTACCTGGGCAATGCTTCACACCTGTGGGCATGTAGACCCGTCTCCACACACCTTGACAACACTTCACACACCTGTAGACATGTCCCCACACACCAGTATATGTGTCTCCACACATGAGCAAGGCCACACACCTCTGGACATGTCCCCACACACCTGCACAATGATCTTACACACCTGCAGGACTGCCCCCCACAACTGCAGACACCCCCACACACGGACCTGGGCACCACACTCAGACATAGGTGGGGACACCCAGCCACACCTGTTAAACTGAAGCCCTAGGGCCCTGGCAGAGGCCTCGGCATGGGGAGGGCACAGGGGATGGCCAAGAAGGGCAGGACGCACCGTGAGGCGCCGTGCAGCGTCCACCTCAATCATGCCCCGCAGCAGGCTCTGGCAGTCGGGCGGGATGAAGTGTGGCATGTGGAACACACCCCGCTTGACCTTCTCCAGTAGCTGCCGAAGGTTGTCGTCGTCAAAGGGCAGCGCTCCCTGCAGGCGGTGGTGGTCAGAGGGCGCAGGCACAGAGCTGGGCTTAGGTTGGGGTGAGGCGTGGCCTGGCCAGGTGGGGCTGGGCAGGGCCAGAGCTCGGCCGGCTGGGGCGGGGGGCTGGTGGAATTGGGCGGGGCCTGGTTGCCCGGCTGGGGCGGCTGGGGCAGCTGGGATGGGGTTGAGCAGGGTAGAAAGCGTGGGTCCCACCAGGGTAGCATGGGGTCTGGGCTCACCACCAGCAAGGCAAACAGGATCACACCGCAGCTCCACACATCTGCCTTGCGGCCGTCGTACTTCTCCCCCTATGGATGGCAGCGTCGAGGGTATTGGTAGGCACAGAGCTCAAGGTTTTAGGGGACAGGGCAGAGGGTCTGGGAAGGACTCAGGCCCCAGGGTCTTGCCCAGTGGGATTGGCCTGTGGCCCCAAGGGCATCAGCTGGCTACTCACTCGGATCACCTCCGGGCAGGCATAGTGGGGGGACCTGAAAGCAAAAGAAGTAGGTTGGGGACAGGCTGGGAACAGAGGTTCAGGACTCATCACCACACCTAGCCACCTGTCCCGCCTGGACCTGTTCTCGCACCCCAGGCACACTGTATAGTGGGGCCAGACCCTCACAGGCTCCTTGGGGGAGACTAGGTCTGGAGGCCACTGCACTCAAGGTTGTCTGTGCCCCATGGCCGAGAGTGAGTATGCAGATGGAAGCCTGTCCCAGCCTTAACCTGGCAGGGCCAGGAGCCTTGGGCTGGGCAGGGTGTCCAGGGCAGCTGTGGCCGTTTGCCTCACCCTCCTACTTGTACAAGGGAGGCTGCAGGGTGCCAGAGGTGGGGTTGGTCAGGCCTCAGGCTGCAGTGTCTACCCAACCTTGCTGTAGACTGTGCAGTGTGGCAGTGGCCCCACTCACCCGCAGCTAGTCTCCAGCAGGCTGTCGCCCACCTGCAGGGACGCCATGCCGAAGTCTGCAACCCGGATGTTGTTCTTCTCGTCCAGCAGAAGGTTCTCAGGCTTCAAATCCCTGTGGCTGGGGAGTTCAGAGAGCTGACCTGGCCGGTTGTGGCCTGGGAGACCCCAGCCCAGAGCCATGCCCCGCCCCAAACTCCAGCAGCCAATGGCAGCACAGGCTGGTGATATCACAGGCAGCCAATCAGAAGCTGCCTGTCTGGACCAGAAGACCTGATTCTTGGGCAGCATCCTGGTAGCCTCAGCCAGCCCAGGGCTTCTGTTCCCACCAAATCTGCTGTGAATGACCCCACAGGCCTTGCTGGGCCCCTGTAAATGCTAAGGGGCATCCTACAACCCTGGTTGGGGGGGGGGGACCTGGCACAACCTTCCTGAGAACCATGGGATGTTGGCAAAGGTCCACTGTCCTTTGCAGGGGAAAGAGTGAGGGAGGGGGATGCTTGGAGGATAAGGCGCCTGGGGAACAGGGATGCCTAGAGGACAGGGATTCCTGAGGGAGGGGATGCCAGAAGGATGGAGGCACCTGGGGGAAGGGTACCTGGGGAGAGACCCTGGGGAAGGGGTCCCTGGGGGAGGGACCAGGGCAGGGATCGCACCATATGGAGTGGCTGTGGCAGAAGTCCAGTGCTGAAATGATCTGCCGGAAGAACTTTCTGGCCTCTTTGGGGGTCAGCCGGCCCTTCTTCACCAGGTAGTCAAAGAGCTCCCCTCCAGACACATGTTCTAGCACCAGGTACCTGGTGGGAGGCAGATGTCCCATGTGCCCAGCTGTGCTACAGTCTGGCCATGGGGCCCCAGAGGAGCCTTAGCTGGAACTGTCACCCCCAGGTCCTCCCTGGCCACCCAGGCTAGGGTCTTGGAGCAGGTCAGACTTCAGATGGTGAAGTCGCCTAGGTGGTCCCTTGGTGGGGATTTTGGGAAATAGGAGTTTGCATGGGCTCTGGGGGAAGGAGGGAGTCAGCTGCCAGGGCAGAGCTGTCCCTCAGCAGAAGTGGGCCAGTGCAAGTCTGCAGACTAGGGACAGCCTTGGGCTTTCTTTTTTTTGAGACACAGTCTCACTTTATAGCCCTCAGTAGAGTGCCGTGGCGTCACACAGCTCACAGCAACCTCCAACTCCTGGGCTTAGGCGCTTCTCTTGCCTGAGCCTCCCAAGTAGATGGACCACGGGCACCCACCACAATGCTCAGCTATCTTTTGTTGCAGTTTGGCCAGGGCCGGGCTCGAACCTGCCACTCTTGGTATATGGGGCAGGCGCCCTACCCACTGAGCCACAGGCGCCGCCCAGCAGCCTTGGGCTTTCTAGCTGCATGTGGCCTATGCCTTGGGCCCAAGCGGGGGGCATTGTCCAGGAGGCTTAACAGTTTCCTGTGCCTGGGTCTGCAGAGTGAGGACCTCATGCCTGCAGGCACCAGCAGTGTGAGGCAGGGGCTCCCTGGGGAGGCTATATGGTGTGTGTGTTCCTGACAGGGTTATGGGGTGTCTGGTGGGGCCTCCCTATAGGCCATATAAGAAGAGACTACAGTCTCCCTGCCTGGGGTGCATGGGGAGGAGCCAGCCATGGGGTCTTGGTCACATGGCTGACAGAAGGGCGGCTCCTGTGAGGGCTGCAGGACTGGATGTTAGGGCCATAGCACACTCAGGACAGCTGTGGAGCAGAGCTGGGCCCCTGGGTGGGATCTCAGCAGGGGGCTGGTCCTGGCGTGGGCGGGTGGGGGCCCAGGGCTCAGCAAAGCCCAGATGCTGGCTGGGGGTTGTGCCCTGGCAGCTGGATGCGGGGCTGCACTGGGCTGTGGCCCCAGCAAGGGCACTGGACACCCTGCCCCGGCTCCTTCCTGCTCCATCCCAGGCCTTTGCTGGCCCTGAGCCCCCTGCAGTGCAGTCCCCACTACACAGAAGCATAGAAGTGACTGATCCCTACATAGTGTGGATGGGGCCTCTCTGGGCCCCTACCCCCACCCCAAACTCACAAATGGCACCAGGATGCTCTGAGATGGGTGCTTGTGGGCTCAGGAGGTGGGAGCAGAGGAAGTGTGAACCCTGACTCCTGCCCTCAGCCATCACCTCGGTCCCCCACTGCTCAGGCATAGGGGCTGAGGACCCATCTGTCCCCATCCCCAGGCCCACAGTGATGAAAACAGTGGCCTGCCGTGGCAGGGCTGCTCCACATCCTTCTTTTTTCTTTGGCTGTTACAAACTGGCAACCAGCCTTTGGGGCTGCACTGGGCCCATAGAAGTGGGAGGCCAAGGCCTGGGGGGCAACTGATGTCAAGGGGTAGTTAAGGCTGAGCATGGCCAGGTCCTCAGACAGGCCCCAGACCTTCCACCAGGACAGCCCCCGACCTGCTCCTGACTTCTTGGTGCTTGGCACCTCCCAGGCGCTCAACTGGGGGCAAGCCAAGGGCCAAGTAGACATCAATGGCACCCCAAGGACCGCACGGTGGAGGACCCCAGGGTCAACCTCTGTTGCCCTTTCCTCTGTCCCCACCCAGAGGGCTCTGCCAGGTGAGTGACCACCACAGCCACTCCCAAGAGTTGCTGAGGCTCCCGCTTGGGCCCACCTAGACACACAAAGATTTCTGTTGGCACCATAGCTGTGGTGGGTGCGGGGTCCAGGGTTGGGGCATGATCCAACTCTCCTCTCTTAACCCCAGGCCCCAGCTAGCCACGACCCCCACTGGCCTCTAGCTGTTGGCTCTGTGAGCTCCTCAGGGTGGCCACAGGCCAGTCGGGAGAAGCAGCTCCCCCCCCCCGGCCTATCTGGCCACCCACCCCACACCCCCAGCTCTGCAGACCCAGCAATACCTACAAATATTTTTTGTTTTCATAAACGTCGTGCAGCTTCAGAACATGTGGGTGCTCTATGAGCTTCAGGATGGCGATCTCCCGCTCCACCTGTGGGAAGTCAGATCATGGTTTGCATGGCTTACAAGACCCCAGCACCAGGTTGACAGCTGCTTGGATGCCGGGTCCTCCGTTTCAGGGGTGGTGCCCCAAGAACAGGCAGAGTCAGTCTCCAGGCCTTAGCAGGGGGCCAGAGGCCATCCCTGGGCCAACTGCCCGGGGCTAGGTCTCAGACCCTCCATTGGGAAACCTGCCTGTCGTGTGTCCCTGCCCACAGCCTCTGCTGCTATGTGGCCCTGGGAGAGGCAGAAGGAGCCCCGGCAGAGGACGCCCCATCCTGATGAGAAGCCATGTCCTGGGTGGGTGCCACCAGAGACGCAGCCAGCTGGCCCCCAGCCCTGCCCTGTGATGTTGGCACCTGCTGGGCCCTTTGCTCAGGACTCTGTGCACGCAGGGAGCCTTGCTCCTCAGGGTAGGTTAGACCTACTTGTGCCTCACCTCCCCCGTTAAGCCATCTGAACTTCTCCTACCCCACTAGCCAAGGACCTTCAACCCCACAGGCTCCCCCGTCAGTAGCACCCACAAATCCCACCCCAGCTGTTCCCACCCTCCCTTTCCTGCCTTGTGCTGGGGGAGAAGGAACTAACCTCAGAGAATATTCAGGCATTTGGCCCAAGGGCCGTGCTTTGGCTACAGCCTCTGGCCTGAATACCCCTTTAGCTTCTAGAAAACCTTGAAGCCTAGGAAGCCCACATCCTGCTGACAGGCTCAGGAGTCCTCCCCCACATAAGATATGTCCAATTCCCAGGGTGCCAGGTTCCATGCCAGGCCAGGGAGACCAGCCCCACAGGAGCCTTCAGAGGCAGGGCTCTCCTCTGGGTCCTAACTAGGAATCAAGGCCCAGCCAGCAGGCCTACTGGGTTGGGACAGCTCTCAACTGGCTAGCTGAGGGCCTGTCCCCAGGACAGGAAGGCAGGCAGGGCAGCATGAGGGGCAACCTGGAACAGGGATGTGTGGGGTCTCATGGTGGTGGCAGGTCCTGCGCAGCCCTGGCCAATGCCTCACCTTCATTAGCACAGACTCGCTGAGCTTCTCACGGTTCACAATCTTGATGGCGACTTTCTGGCATGTAACACAGTGGATCCCCAGCTTCACGAGGCCTGCAGAGTGAGGCCATAGCTCAGACTCAGCCCAGCCACAAGGTAGCCCCTGCCCTGCACGGCTCCCTGCCTGAGGTCCTTCACCTCTTCCAGCCCCAGCCGCAGGGACCTGCTGCCTGCTCCCAACCCAGCCCTTGGTTGTGGTCCAGAACAGCTTGGTGGGTGAGGCCATCTCCCCCACCACAGCTTCCTCCCGTGAGTCTACCCTTCGGCCTCTGGAAGCCTGGGGCCTCAGGGGTCCCTGGCCAGTGAGCCAAGATATGCTGAGGTCCAAAACCAGCCTCCCTCCCAAGAGACTGTCACCCTAATCCCACCCGAGTCCCAAATTTGCAGAAACGTCCCTCTGCACCTGAGGCCTCTGACACCAGGACAGGCCCAAAGCCATCTGAAGGACAGGGTGCTGTGGTCCCTCTGTGTCATAGCCAGGCACCTGCCTTCCCTCCCTGTGTGGACACTGGGCCACCACAGCCTGGCCACTGCCCTGAGCTCCTGCTGGACCGGGCTATGGCATCAGCACTGAGGATCAATCAGAGGCTCATGCTTCCCCTCCTGGGCCAGCCCTGCCACCGAGGCTCCCAGGTGTGGGGCATCATCAGGGCCTCCCACTCCATGAGTGTCGGACTCCCAGAGGCCAACTAGGATTTCTGCTCAGCTGTAACAGACGTGGACCCTTCCAGGACCCTTCCTACACATCACCAAGAGCCACTTCTGAGTCTAGGAGGTCACCTGGTGGGGCAGGGAGGTGCAGTGTTGCGCCCCAATGGTGACATCAAGCATCTTTCCCCACGCAGACTGACCACGTCAGTCACATTTGCACATTTCTGACGCACACACACGTGTGTGCATTTTCTCATCCATGGGCAAGAGCCCTTTGCTTTTCACGGGAAATTAGCCCTTCATCATATGTACCAAGGATATGTCCCCAGCCCTGAGGCTAGTCTCTCAGCTCAGTTCTGCCTTTATGCTGTGTATATTCACGTGGGGCCTGTCACCTGCTCTCAGCCGTGGCTTCATGGTCACCCCCGGGCCCCTGCTGTGGTGTGGTGCCCTGTCCCACCCCAGGTCTGAGGGTGGTCTGGTCGATGTACCCAGCTGCTTGTGTGGTCCAGGCCCACAGCCATGGTCCCCCCCTGGGGATACAGGAGCCATAGGCCCCACAGGTGGGCTCTTCCCTCCTGTCCCAAGTAGAGGGGAAGGGCCTGGCCAGCGGAGGTCCAGGACCCTGTGTGAAGACAAGGCTTCCACAGTGGTGGGGGGAGGCAGGGTGTGCTTGTGAGGCTGCTCTGACTCCTGGGGCCTCCCTCTGGCTGCCTCTGACCTAGCACGAGGGTTGGGGGCCAGTTCCCGTTCAGACAGAGCACGTGGACAGGAGCAGGGAGGTGGTGCAGAAGGACCTCCTCCTCCACGATTCAGTACCATGTGGACCCACCCGTGGCCTAGGACACCACCACATCCAGGACATGCTGTGGCTGGACCTGGGGTCCCAGTAGGCCCTCCCCAGCCCAGAGGCCACCTGCTCCCCAGGTGAGGAGGTACCTGAAGGCAGGATTCAGCCCATGTGGGAAAGCAGGCTGACCAACAACAAAAACCTCCACCCCAAGGGAATTAGTTTCAGAAAATTCACAAGGCAAACTCACAGATGCTGCAGCAGAGTTGAGCAGCTAGGGTTACACACCAGAAATCACCCCAGGAGTGGCTCTGGGACCCCAAAAGACAGATACAGGGTCAGAGGTGAGACAGCACTCTGAGGACAGGTGGTCAGCCATGGGCAAAAAAGCAGGAACAACTACAGTGCTCTCACATGGCATGTCAGCATCCTGAGCACCCCACAGAAGGACAGGGCCCAGACACAGGCCATAGGCACTCACCAATGACCACACAGGAGGGGGCTGGGCACAGCATAGCCAGCCCTGCGCAGGGATGACGCACGCACACACACGCGCACGCACACACATACCTCATGCACACACCGTGCACACGCACACAGAACAACACACAGCACACGTGCACATGTCTGGCACACACACATGCCCAATGCACATGTGCACACATGTCTGACACACACAGAGCACATGCCCAATGCACATGTGCACACACATCTGGCACACACACAGCACATGCCCAATGCACATGTGCACACACATGTATGCATGTCCAGTGCACACACATATACACACCCATACGCACCCCCACATGCCTGGCCTTCAGACTCCCTGTGGGGAAATGTGGTCCTGCCTGCAGGAAAGGAGGGGAGGTAGGGTTAGAGCCAGAAGAAAGCTCCTAGGTCTCTGGCAGACCCAGGTGGGAGAATCACTTGAACTCAGGAGTTGGAGACCAGCCTGGATAACATAGCAAGACCTCATTCTACAAAAAATAAAAAATTTAGCTGGGCATAGTGACACCTGAAGTGCTACCTACTGAGGAGGCCAAGACGGGAAGATCACCTGAGCCCAGGAGTGGAGGCTACATTGGTTATGATGAGGGCACTGCACCCCAGCCTAGGTGACTGAACAAGACTCTGTCTCAAACAAACCAAACTGAGCAGGCTGGGCCGACTTTCTAGAAATTGAGTATCAGAAGGACAGTGCTGGCCAAAGGCAGCTAAGTACCAACTGGGCTGGGTGCTGTTCTGGGGGAGCCTATTTCACATCTACCTCACAGACGAGGAAACTCTGGGTCCTGCTGCCCAGCTAGCACACGTCTCAGATGGGCAGTGGACAAGTGAGGGCCCCACACTGTCCTGGGGGAAGCTCCTCAGGGGACAGAGACAGTCTTGGGCTGGAGCCCACGGCTGCAGGGGATAGTTGGTCTCTTGAATGAGCATAGCCTCCAGCCTCCTGCCTATGCTCAGATGAACATCACGCAGCCGAGGTGTAGAAGAGCCTTGCTGTCCTTGCTCTGGCAATTTCCATCCTGTCTCCATCTTCCTTCACGTGTGGCCCCTCTGCACAGAAAGTCCTTTCACTGTTACCACGCCCTGAAAACTCCTGCACACCAATGATGCCCAGTGTGGAGATGACCCTCTCTGCGTCCTGGTTTCCCTGGACCCAGGTCCTTGGGACAGAATGTTTGGGTGCTGGGCATTTCTGCCACTTCCCTGAGTGGGGCGTGTGCCCTGGTGAAGGGAACAGAGGCTCTGGGGGAAGCATGGTCACCCTTAACCACCTAGCCTCCAACCTGCTGGGGCTCATTTTCCAATTGTGACTTTACCTCTAATTATTATCTTTGCATAAATACAAGCTCTCGCACACAGAGGAAAAGTGCATGGTGCCATGGATAATTGTGCTGGTCTTTGAAAGGGCTGGAGCGCAGGGTCGGAGGAACTGCCAGCTCAGACCAGGCACACAGAGGCTGAACCTGCCTGTACCGAAGGGTATACTGTGGTGGGCTGGGGCCACCCACTGGAGAGAGCTCCACTCAGCACCCCACACATACCCATCCCCTAAGCAAACCCCGCCCCCTACCTGTTAGACCCTGCAGCTCTGCCCCTGGGGCAGCTGGTTACCTGTGCAGACACCCTCCAGGCTCCCTCAGGCCTCTCCAGCCAGCTTGCCCTTGGCTGACGGGTCCTGAGCCCTCCCTCACACACCCGAAGGATATCCTGCACTCCAAGCTCTGTCTGGCCACCACTCAGTCCACTGACCTTGTGGCCAATGACCCTTGGGAGCAGGTGTGGCCCTCACTGGCTGACTCTCCAAGCCTCACAGATGGCTCTATGAATTCCCAGTAGCCAGAGCACCTCAAGCCCATCCTGGCCACCCCGATGGATCCAGGGTCGAGGCTTAGGAGCCAGCTAGCACCCCGCACCCCTGTGTCCTGTCTCCTCAGAGTAGCCCTACCCGCCTCGGGCAAGGACCAAAAGCCCACCACCAGCACACACATGCCATCCGCAGAACATTGTTCCCTGGGCAGGAGCGCAGGCAGGGCTGAGATCTGGCAGCCTGTGAGTTAGGGCAGCTGGGCAGCTTGCATGACTTTCTATAGCTGTCGTAGAGCTGCAGGCACAGCTGATCCATCACAAGCCCTGCTTCCCAGAGCCAGGCAGGGTACTAAGCATGAGGCTGTTAGACACTAACACCAGGCAGAAAGTGGCCTTCTTGGGGACAGTCAAGACAGGCTATCAACAGGAGGCCATCCCTGTAGAGGGAGGCTGGAAGGAGGGGCAGCCCCTTGGCCTGGGGCTTCCTGGAGCCAGGTGGGTGTGGAGACTGGCTAGAGCTGGCTCCCAGCTCAGTGCTATCAAGGCCCCAGAAGGGTCCTGTTCCCCAGCAGTCAGCTCTCCAGAGGCCTTAGGTCTAGGCAGGGAAGGTGGCCAGGCTGTCGCTGTACACCCACGCCATGCGGCCCAGCCTGGGGGTATCTACCTGAAGGGCCACCTGGGGACCTTGTCCCCTCACCCAGAAGAAAGTGAGTTCTGAAAAAGTGTGGGAGATGACTCACCCACCAGAGGCCAAAGGGGAGGGACATGGGGGAGGAGACGACTGGAGGAGGATACCACATGGGGGGGCACGCAGGAACAGGTAGGGGACCACAGGGAAGCCAGAACTGCCTGGCCAGGCCACTGTCCCTGGTGCTGAATGTGATGGGGGCAGGAGAGGACGGAGTACAGGGGTGGGTGTCCTGGGCCTGTCAGGTCATGGTCCCCTTCCCTGTAGGTTTCAGGGTCTGGGGGAGCAAGACCCATGGCAGGGTCTTGGGAAGATGCACCAACATGCTCAGGTTCCTACTCCTACCAGCTGTAGGTCCCCAGAGCACGAAGGGTCTCCTGCACATCAAAGGACAGGGGTTCACCAGCTATGCCCAGGCCCAGTGCAGGCAGCTGTGTGTGGGTACTCCCAGCTCCTCCTGGCAGCCTCATAGGTCTCTGACACACCCCCCTCCCTGCACCATGGTTCAGATCAAGAGGGAAGTAGGTGGAGGCCAAAGGCCTAGGTGGGGTCTGACATATTCAAAGTGCCCAGGGCCAGCCAGCTGGGAGGAGGAGGGAAGAACAGGTGTGT